TTAAGGACCTCATCTAAAAATTGAAGGAGACTAATAAAAGACATAGTGCTTGAGTGCATGATCAGGTTTTGGATGGAAATTAGCAACAGTAGATGAAAACACATCACTGGGACTACAGTGAAATGTGAGTATGTGTGCATCTTCTATAATACTGCAGTCATATTAAATGTCTTAACATGATATTGAAAGAATTAGGCATTATTACAAGATACAAGTTAAGAGTTCCCTGGATAGAAATGTTTTAATTGCACCAGCAGGTAGAATTTATATATGGAGAGAGCAACTGTGGCCAAATATTGTCATTGGTAAAACTTGCTTAAGAAAATCTTGAATGGGGTTCATCTTACTGTATCTTCTACTTTTCTGTTAGCTTTATATTTGATAAGATGTTTGGCTATAAAAGGTGAATAAATAAATACAAATGAATGCTCTTTCATAACTCATTATTGGCATTCCTTGTGTGTGTCACCTGTAGTTAGTGGAACTAAGATGTGAAGTACCCAAATTCAGACTCTAGGGCATGCCTGACTTTATTTCACCCACAGGCTGTACAGTTCCTTTCTGGGGTGTTGTTTTGCAGTCTCTTCCTATGCACTTAGTCGTCACTTTGTAATTCTACTGGTGGCACTGAGAATTATGATTTTCCAAATCATAATAAGCCTCAGTTGTGGTTTAGTGAGCTTTTAATACATGCATATTTATATAAGGAATACAATATATAAGGAATACAATTGTGTATTTCATGGGAAATTACACCAGTGAGTTGTTTATTCATGGGGTTTTTGTGGTTGTTAATGGATGCAGTATCTGCATACCTTTTGTGCCCATCTCTCCTCCATTCATCCTACTTTCATGTGCCAGCCATTGCTACTGTGACCAGATCTGTATTTACAGGAATGACCTGGTAGCACCTGGCGTCAGCTGAAATATCTTTATTCATTTTCTGTCTGGGCTTCCTTTGCCAGCATTATACTTCTTAGGGCTATTATAAAGGAGTTAAAAGCCTTGTAGCAACCATAAAGCAATGGGGAACTGGAGCCTGAGAATGCATATGTGCTGTTGCATTCCTCAGGTGGAAGAGCTGAGGCGCCTTTTCCAGGACTCCTCAGGGCTCCCTGGAGGGTACAGCTCTGACTGCCCCCTTGCTGACCTGCTCAACATAACACCTTTGAATCTGCCTTTCTCCCTGTCTGCTTAACTCATCCCATTCCCTCCGTATCCTCTCTTCAGACTGGTTCCTAAAGTAAGTGATCAATATGCAAACACCTTACGGACATTGGTTCCTTGACAGAACCCAGACCGAGACAATGGAAGCCTTCTAGTTAGAGTTGAAGAATGTAGGTATTGTTAGGATTACAGTCCACTTCACAGGAGTTCATGCGATATTTAGACAAAGAATTCGGCAAAGAACCAGGAATCATCCCTGTTTATCCTTGAGCAGGTCACTTAACCTCCAAGTTATCTGTCAACTACAGTGATAATTAAGGCAAAGACATGTTGGTTGGTCTGTAGGATTCTAGTAGCTGATGATAGGATGGTGGCTTCTAATATCTTGTATAAGCTGTTGCTAATAAGTATGATAGCCCCCCAGATCTAAAGATTTTAAAGAGAGCAGTTGAGGGTAGCAAGAGAGGGATTGGTGGCAGCTCTTAGGCAAGTTTTCAGTTATTTGAGACATAAAACAGAGACTGAGGAATAGGAAAGAGGCCTATTCTAATTCCTAATGGGGATTGAAATGTAGAAGCAAAGGCCAGGTAGGGCATCATGGGGAGATGTTGGTGCAAAATCTCACAGGATTTAGACTTGAGGTTGTTAATACATGACATCAAACTAGTGTGAGAAACTAAAAATGGGGAGCATTCCGTACTTGGAGGAAAGGGGGAAAAGGAGGCTGGAAACCAGTTGAAGTCTTACAAGCACAGGCCAGTTGCACACCATAATTACTTGTTTCATTGTATAGCTCGGGGTAATCCTGTGACTTTTGAGTCTCTGTGGTTAGATATCACAGTAACTTAAGGCATAGATAGTTGATGTACTTTCTGCCTCAGTAAAGAGCAGATGTTGAAGACTGGATTAAATCCTCTTTACTGATACCCCAAGGGAACACTTAATGAATGATGCTTCTCTTACGAAGAAGAATAATTAACAATAGCTATATTATTCATATTAATTTATAGGTACTGGTTGCTATAATTAATGCTATTTATGAAATCATCATAATTATAGCACTTTATAATTTACAAAGTATTTTCCCATCCATTTTCTTATCTGGATCTTGTCTTAGTCCTCTGCTTTAGGTAGCACTGGTGGGGTTCTCTTCAATTCGTAGATGAGGAAGCATGTCCCCAAGAAGAATTTAGCCAGACTCCAGTCTGCCACTCTTGCAGATAGATTGTGTGCTCTATGAATCTATGGAAACACACTTAGTCACATTTGTGTTTATCATACTATCTTATGACTGTACACAGGAGAATCAGGTTCCCTTGGTTCTCAGTTGCCTTCCTTTGCAATAGAGCCCTACCTTCCCTGGGGTCAGGGCACAGTACTCAGAGTGTTCACATGAATATTAACTATTAAATGATCATTTTCTTAATGATGTCACTGTACTTTGTAGTTATTAATGCCTTTTGGGATAAAAATGAGATCTCATCTGAAAGGGGAATTAGCACCATGAAAACATCTGTTCCCAGGATGAAAATCCACTGGCCTGAAAGCATTTAGTCTCACTGGAAATTCAGACTCTGAGAACACGCAACCAACCTGTCACGTCATTGCTTTTACATTGTTGATTGTGGCAAGGGGGCTGAGGAAAATTGCTCAATGTTGCAAGGCTGCACACCTGAACCATACAGCCTGATACACACACACACACACACACACACACTGAACCTTTTTGCTTCCTGTTGTACCTAAAATTTCCTGCTTTTACCTAAAAGTTGTTGATGTGAAAATGGTTGCTATCTGGACCTATGGTACTGCCTGCCCTTGTTCATTCATTAATGTACTTGAAAATACTTATTGGCCACTTAATTGGATTGGGTCCTTAGCAAGATTCAGGGGGGAAGAGTGAGCAGCAAAACCACATGCTTTCATGGAGCTCCATATTATCCTGGGAGAGAGACTGACAATAACAAAATCATACAAAACTTGATGTTAGCTGATGGTGGGTGAGTGTCATTAGAAGAGTAGAACAAAGCAAGATGGGAGGATAGAGTGCACAGAGGGGTCCTAACCGTATATCCTGAGTGAGGAAGTGCTGAGGCAGCGGCTTTGGATGGCACGGTCAAAGGGGCCCCTACGTAAGGAGAGCTCACAAGCAAGGATGCCTCACGAGGCAGGCAGCAGTCTAGGTTTGGCTCCAAGGGGCTGGGACACACCTTCCTAGGCAGTTGGTATCATCAATGTGCCTGGCGTAGATGAGCTAGGAAGGATTAACTCATGCTGGCTGAATTCACAAGAGACTGACCTATTCATTGGAGCCCATTGAGTGGCTTTTACACAGAGACTTAGGTTTCAGGAATTAGGGAAGATCTGTTGGTGAGAAAGCCAGTAGGGGAAAAGGAACTCATGGTATTAATAGAAATGGTATTATTCATTATTCCTGATGCAGTATAGTCACAGGTAGGTGTACTTCAAGGAATGTAAGATTTAATGCTAGCCTGTCAGTAACCCTATATTTTGTTGTTTCTAAGGCTTTTGTAGTTTCTTGGTTAAAGTTTTTCCTAAACTTTTTTTCTAAAGCCTCATTTATGCATTTAATAAGTTGAGTTATATTTAGAGAGAGGGAGAGACAGAGAGAAAGGTCTTCCATCCACTGGTTCACTCCTCAAATGGCTGCAACAGCTGGAGCTAGGCCAATACAAAGCCAGAAGCCAGTAGCTTCTTTCAGTTCTCCCACGTGGGTGCGAGGGCCTAAGCACTTGGACCATTTTCCACTGCTTTCCCAGGCCATAGGCAGAGAGCTGGACTGGAAGTAGAGCAGCTAGGATTCGAAATGGCGCCCATATGGGATGCTGGTGCCGCAGGCAAAGGCTTAACCTACTACGCCATGCCATAGCGCCAGCCCTTTTAAACTCTTGTACACATCAGACATTATCTTGATATTCAACCTCCTTAGATATACCCAGTGGAGTTCATGCTACTTAACTCCTGTTGGGTCTTGCCGATGATACCCTTTTGATTCTTGGTGGAGTCCTTAGAGACTCTTGCGTCACACATACACCGTCTTTGTAATATCATCACCTTACACGCTTCCTTTTACCTCACCGGGCTTCCACCTCCTAGGATCACCTCACTTGATCTGTAGGCAGGCTGCGCTTGTTTCTCCTAAACCTGCTTACAAGTCCTGTAGAGGCTCTGGGAAAACTAACTGCCCTCTGCTCTCTTATGGAGTGCAAGAGACATGGGCATGGGCAGTAAAATCCACAAAACCCTGATTATACCATCAGCACTGACTGATGCTGGCCCCCCACTGCAGCTCCTGGACCAGGCCCCTGAGTGGTCTCTTTCTAGCCTACGTTTTAAGTGTCACCGGGTCTTGCCATCTCTTGCGCACATATCCGTGCCTGCAACTCTGGAGTACTTTCAGGCTCCCACATCTGCAAGTGCTGACGCTGGTTTCTGGCCTCTCAGGGAGGTCCCTTTCTTCTCTAACACCTTCATTCTATTCAGTGGTTTCTGCACATAAAGGGCTCGCAATACCTTCCCATAAATGCAGAGATGGAGGCTTGTATTCTCATTCATGTGGATGCTCACGGCAGGGAGAGGGGTTTCTGGACAAGTCCTTGACCTGAGGAAAACCCCCTCCTGGTTTTCAGTTTTCCTCCCTGTCGGGTAAGAAAACTCTACCCCAGCCCACCTACCTCACTGAGATTTTCTAAGAACTAAGAAAATGAGGTGCCCCCAAATGTGGATAAAGCCCTACTACAACTTGAGAAATGGCAGCTGCGAATGCTGTCAGTGGAAATCTGCTGTTTGAAACCTGGATGTGTTGCTTTCAGCAGGGAAATCCTGGAGGCAAGACCCTTGAGGAGAGACGCTCCAGCCTGGACGCTGAGATTGACTCCTTGACAAGTATCTTGGCTGACCTTGAGTGCAGTTCCCCCTATAAGCCGCGGCCCCCGCAGGTGAGTGCTGCTCCCCCTGGCCCCTCTCTCTGGCCAGCCACCAATGCTTTACTCTTTTCTGGAAGAACAAACTTCTTAATGCTCTTTCATTTTTTTTCTTTAATTTTCTCAGAGCTATTGGTCTAAGTTTTTATTTAATATCAACATCATATGTTAGTTAACTGGCAGAAATGTCTTACATCAATTTTCTTAATTCTTGTTATTTTTTTTTTTTGCAAAAAAGAACACAGTGTTACTAAAAATGTGATAAGAAAGCAAGTCTCCTCTTATTGCAGTGTCCTGACCCATGTTTAGCTTTGTCTATAAAGATATTTTATGACACACTGTTGCAATCTTTACTAATATGACTTGACGTGGCTTTACACACCTGAGTTTTGTGAGGCTCTGTGTTGTTTGTAAGGAAATTCCTTTTGATATATATTTAGTTGGTTTGCATTTCTGCTGTTATAACTAATGCTCGAGGGATATGTTCATGTATATTTTCTTTGGAGCTATTTCCCTGCCTCTGAGGTGTTGGATTCCCACATTGAGATGGAGAAGCACTTTCTTCCCTTTCCTTTCCAAAGGCTGTTACTAGCTCATACTGTACAAGCAGTTGCAATATATTGTTTTTTTTTTCCCCTCAAATTCACAGGAGTTAAATGATAGCTATTATTCTATATTGTATAGGTGCAAATGATGTTTTGTTATCAATTTTTCATTGTATTTGTTGCTTGTCTTGAAGCTGACTATTTTCCTGCAACTTGGCTTATTGCTTGTGTTACAAAAGTTGAAATTCACTGTAGGGATCATCACTGCCTCTCTGAGGTCTTGAGGGTCAGGCCAAATCTATTTGAGGGCTTCCAAGTCCTCAGAAGGCAGCCATTGAACTCTAGATGCAAGCATTGTCCCTGTTGACTACTGTTGTCTCTGTGTTGTGTGACTCTTGTGCAGAGTTTGCCTGGCTGAGTGACAGTGTACACATCACTGAGTCCCAATCCAGTTCCTGACTGGCAGTTGCTGGTTCTTTGAACAAGTTAGAGTACAGTCCTTCTTCTCTATTGCAGTCAGTTCAGTACCTAACTGCACATAAGGTTACATAGTCTCATTGCCTTCTCTAGATACATAACAGGATTGTCACCTATGTGGGGGCACCAGGCAAAATACACTACAGCACTGTTTCAGCCATCTCTGCTGTGGCTCCATCATGCTGTCAGCAGGACTGTCAGCATGTCCTGAGCTGTGGGCTTTTGGGGCAACTGATAAGAGCAGGAAAGTGGATGGAAGGGAAACACACGAAACTCCAATAGTCCATGATATTCGGGAAGTTAAATTGTGGTCAGTATCGCAGAAGGAAGGGGAGAGAGTGAGGTGACAGAATCTGAGAGTTTGTATCAGAAGGCTTGTTGGTTTGGCTAGAGGGATAGCTGAGGTTGTGTTGTTGGGAGATCAGAAAGGAGACGAAGCCTGAGCAATAGATAGGGAGGCCGGCTATGGAGGAAGCTGTTGGCAGCCTTTAAGATTGTTTATTTTATTTTTCATCTATTTGAAAGGCTGCCACGCACACATATGGAGAGAGAGAGATAGAGATCACTGGCTCACTCTCCAATGCCCACAACAGCCAGGGCTGAAGCCAGGAGCCAGGAACTCCACCCGGGTCTCCCACTGGGTGACAGGGGCCCAAGCATTGAAGCAGTCATCAGCTGCCTCCGGGATGCATTTTCAGGAAGCTGGATTAGAAGCGGAGTAGCTAGGAACTGAACCAGCACTCAGAAATGGGATGTGGGGGTTGCAACCAGGGACTTAACCTCCTGTACCACAATTTCAGCCTGGCCAGTGAGGGCGCGAGGGGGACTGTAGGTTGGGTAGGTTTGAAGGCCAGATTAAGGTTTTTAAGCTGTGTTTTCTGCTCATGGGGGATCACTTTGAAGTTCTTAAGCAGGAAGAAATGTAAAATTCATTCTGAAGAAGGCACAAAGGAAGTAAAACCGACTCTGAAAAGATACAGGGGTTGGTCAGAGCAGTTCCTCAGTAAGCCATGCTTCCTTCACTGTTAGGGACCAGTGTCTCAGACTTAGCAACTGTCCAATTCCATCCACACGAGGAGCGTGAGCCCGGCTTCACAGGACAGCCAGGCCACTGGGTCCAGCCGTTTCCTGCCCAAATGCTTCTCTGCAGGCTGTCGCCTCCTTTTCACCTTTTTTCAAAACAGAGTTTTTGTTTAATTTTTTTCTCTCCTAAGTTTTTGTAACCTAACATATATTGAGGAGATTATGCTTTGTGGTCTTTTTCTTAAAATAGCCTCTGTTCTTTATAGCTCCGTCTACACAATTCCTTCCATAAACCCCTGCATCTTAATGAGGTTTATTCAGCAGCTACTTTTGTGTCTGCAAAATCTTTCTGTGCACACAGACTCATAATGACTGGCATGTGGTTTGTAGTTTACCAGTGGAGAAGCATGCTCACATATATCCTCACTGGAGTGAGGTCTCGATATCTCCACTCTCAGATACAGGTGGTGTGCCTGCTCCTGGTTCACATAGAGAAGACCAAGACTTCACAGAGGAAGGAGTGTCTCTGGCCATGTGACTACTGTGTGAGCACAGCCAGACCCTGAATGTGGCCTTGGGCTTTAAGTTCTGACGCCAGAGGGAGGATGCCAGGGTTTTCCTTTTGAAAATGTTTTCACCACTTATAAAAACTCTGACATGAGTCATTTGAGGGAAAGTGCCCATTGAACATGGCTTTCCCATGTAAGAAAAACATTCAGAAGGTTAAAAAAAATGAATTATGATGGCACTTAAGTAGAACAAGCTCATAATTAGGGTAAGACTATTGGCTATGTGCCCATTCCATTCAGAAATTAAAGGATGATCCTTTCTATATTTTTAATGATTTTAATTTAGGAAAGCAAGAGTTAATTGGAAGACATAGCTTATGCTTCTGAATTATCTTCACTTTGGTAGAACTGAATTGGAAGTGTTGGTATTTATTGGCTAACATAATTATATACTGTGAGAACAATAATCATACTCTTAAAATATTAAAATATGTGCCAAGAGAAGATGATGTCTGCCATAGACCATGTTATGTTGTAATTAAACGGTATTTTTGAAAAGTTCTAGAAGTGTAGACTGTTAATACCCAACTTTGATGTTTCCATTTTTTGATCCAAACCAAATTTCAAAACTTGTCAAGTCACCGTCCTACTTAAAGTAGGCTAGTAGGTCTATGGTTTCTCATTAGTCAAGCATGTGTTATGTGATTTCCCCAGTTCACCTCTGAATCACCTATGAAAGGCGACTTTGACTCATGGATCTTGGGTGAAAATGATAGACATGTGGAATGTTTGTAAGGTAAGACATTCCAGGGAACTCCATTCACATAACCCTTAATAGACATCTGACTCTTGGAAACAAGTCTTTTTTTTTTTTTTTTTTAAGCAGCTTCCTCCTTTGCCTAAAGATGGATTTCCCATTCTCAGATTTCCCAACTTCAGTTCTATTCACTTATTGTCCATATGGTTGTTTTTGTTCATTTCGTTGTCAGAATTGAAGGTTATGTGAGCAGTGTAGAGAAAACTAGTGAGATTTTTCCTCTTCAACTAAAATGAAAAGCTGTGGAAAGATTTGGGGAGTAAGAATACAGCGAGGGATGGTTTGATAGCTCTGACTCCGAGTTTACCAACATGAAGCACACTGTCTTCCCAGCTCAATGTGTTCACTTCTCTAGAGAGAATTCTGTTCGTGTGAACTTGTCCACCTTTACCATTCTGAGGCTGTTCTTTCACTACTGTGTTTCCAAAATGGGCAAGGTAACTGCAATCCATTCCCCTTTTGCAGAGAAGTTGTTCTGAAACTGCAAAAAATATAATGTTACCCAAAGCAGCAGTTAGCACAGTGCTTCTTCTTTCGTTTGGGGACTGTTAGCTGCTATCTGGAGTTTTCTCTAAAGCTTTAGGTCTTTGAAGGTTTGAGCTGATCCTTTGTAAATGCTGTTTATCCTGTAAGTGACACTGTTCACTTCTTCATTTAAACCATGTAGAAATCGTTGTACCTAAATCTATAGGTATGAATTACATAAAATTTGAATAACTTAAATAAAATTTTAAAAATTGTGTAACTGCTTGGTTTGTTTAGAGACATGGGACTTAAATGCCATGCGGTCATATAGATACATTTGATTTTCATCCCAGTGCTGCCTCACTGGGTGCATTGTGTACGTTCATAACCTAGGAGGGAACCAGAGAATTTGTTTCAGGTGTGTGCATTGTGCTGAATATTTTTTCTGAGGAGTCTATGTGGCCTGAGGGCTTGGATGTCATGTAATCAGTGGGGGAGTCTTCTGGTGCTGTGACTCTTCTGTTCTCTTGTGCTCCATGTTCTAGCTTGCAAAAGCCATGAGCAGCTGCAGGGGAGATTAATTAGTAATTAAATTTTAATATTTCATATCATTCAGTGCTACCCAAACATGTAAGCTACTGGGAGAGGAAAGCTGCAACATGCTGATACTTTGTGATGAGACATTGCTCGTCCCTGCAGAAGAAGGATTTGCTATGTTTTGGTTAGGCTTCTTGGGAATTGAGTTGGGTATTCTGTCAAAAAAAGAGAATCGGTATGAATAGCACCATCTTCTTTCCATATTCTTTTGGGAGAAATTTACTGAGAAATGAACTACTCTGTATATCCGCATTATCTGCTTACAAATAGCCCCCTTTTGAGAGCTGTGGTAAAAGTGAAAGTGTAGAAATCTCATGTGTAAGATATTAACTAGAACATAGAAGAATAAAATGCACAAAATACCATTCTAAAAGGAAAAGGGATCTAATTCTTGGCAGTCTGCGTGTTTAGAGGATCTGGGTTATTCTGAATTAGTCTATACCTGCCAGAAAACTTCAACAGTTAAGTAACAATGAGATGAGGGTGGATGAGTGGGGAGCTGATTCAGAGTTGATTAATTTTTAGATGGTATATAATTGCATCTCAATAACATTTATATCTCCTCTTCCTTTTTCAGAAGAT